ACAACACGCCAGGAGCATGGAACAGAATTATTCGCTGGGCAGATTCTTATTAAAAAACTGATTTTCAAGCGAAAGGTCAACATTCTCGCTAAATCCCACTAACGATAGCAACAAGTTTTTTAAGGAAACCAGTTGAAGTGCAAATTTCCTAGCACACACCCTTGCCACCGCCATCCAGACAAGCCAACGAATTGGTGGAGGGCTTGATTACTGGTGAGTCTGAAACAAATTCAAAGCACTTACAACAGTCTTTTTCATTAAATGATTAAAGCATTTAGTATAATAAGCTTTCTGTTCTTCGGACATCCCATAAACTGATTCCTCTAGCGATTCCGTTGATGTTTTATCCTGAAAATGTTTGGCATTTGAAACGATTCAACAAGCCGTATCAGATCTTTTCGAAGGATGAGGTATCTACCTATCACCCTGATTTTCTGTTCTCAGCAATCAACAGGGGCACCTCCAGAACATGGGTGAGGACCGTTAAGAGATCCACACCAATGCAGCTTAAACCCCTAACCACATCTTAAATTGTCTGTGTTTACAGCTAAGAGATGAAACAAGGACAGATCAACCTACATATTCCATGTACATGATTGTTCAACATGTCTTAAGGTGTGTACCACATTAACAATCCAGCTATCCTCCCCATCTACAATTCACTAGCAAATCCCGCCCTCCCACCCATAAAACTACAGGAACTCAGCCGTTCTTAATTTTCTTTGGTTTGTACGGGCCGTTATTTCAGAAGGTATGGTTCGGCCTAGCAACGGCCGCAAAAAAAGCACTTTACAACTTCACTCTCTTCGGTGGCACTGCTTCGGCCGTCCAATTTTGGTTCGGCCTTTCAAGGCCTTTCTATTTTTACCTAAACTCAAGCAACACCAATATGGCTTACACTTAAGCAACACCATGCAGCTTGAACTTCCTACTAATCAACCAAATGACAGGAGTCGATTCCGATAGGCTTCGAAGTGCAGGCAAATGCTTCATCAACCGCCGTCTGATAAACCCCCCTGCACTTCCCACTTAGGGAAGCACGTGAGACATGAACTTGCTCAAAGAATAATACAGCTACCTGCACTTGCTTGGACGCACGACCGATTTCACTGCTCAGTGTATTGCTGTCATCGACGTCAGAATCCTCCTCGTCCTCAACCGCATCTTCCAGCAGGTTTTTCGTTTCTGTGTCCGACATTCCTACAAAATCGAGAAATCCTAAACAATCGTCCGAGCAGTTTACAGTTCAGAATAAAATGATTCCCGGACTAACGTGCACAATTTTTTCTTGAAATTCTTGTTTGCAGATATTTGCATTTTTCCGGATGACAAGCACTCCTGCCAAGAAAGGACATCCAAAATAATTTACAAGTTAGTTACCCGGTTTTTCATTATTACCCTCTTCATCGGTATCCTCATCCATCTCATCATAGCCTTCACTCGTTTCATCATCGGAATCATTCAACGCCTTCCACTTTATACTCGGAGAAGCACTCTGAAATACCTCAGTTTACACAATCGAATTTCTTGAACACCGCCAAAATACCCAATAATGACTGTGCCATCAAGTGTACCGGTAAAATGCATTCGCTGCATTTATGCAAACTGAGTTAAGATGGATGCCAAACAAATGTTGACGTCAAACAAATTGCATATGTTAACACACAGAAGATTTTAGGCCCATGTCTTCTTCCAATCTCGCAGCCCCCGGTCTTCTTCCACTGTTTGTATCTTTAAAATTTCTATAACACCTAACGAAAAGTGGCCCATAGCGACCGATTTTCGAGCAACTTTTATACGAGAAAGGCTCTACGTACTGGCATTGAAAATTACCTGCGAAG